AGCTAGAACCAGAACTTTCTCGAACCAACGCGGTAATTCCAAATATTTAATTACGCCTAATGCCACCTAGCGGATAGCTGAAAAAGATAGTACATAGTACCACTACTCGCCACTAGATGTCGTTAAGTGTCACAATACACAATAATTATTGAAATACAAAAAAGCGTAAGTTTGCTTAGGTCACGCACTTTGCGACTATCCTAGTCTAGAAATATAGTTAAGGGCTGAAATTGGCCTTTGGAACAAACTGAAAAAATCATTATGGCCCGAATTCTTCAAGGTTTGGAGACCCCTGATATAGAGTATCAGAACTTCGACTATCGCTAAAACCCTTCATTCAGTGTTAATTTCCAATTTTCAGATCAAAATCCTCAAATTGTTTCCCAAATAACCTCCTCACTTATTTCGACGACATTTCATACGAGATAATTCAACATCAAGAATAAAAGTACATTTGATTCATGTCAAAAAAATTTAAATGAAAATAGAAAAAACTTCACAACGTTCCAATTGTGTATACTAACAATCAGAACGTAGTAAAGTGATTTGGTTCAAAACGTTTTTTTATTTTCTTGTTATTTTTCTATAATTTATCTTGATTCAGCCGTTACTTGATGAAGATCCATAGTAATTTCAAAAACTACACCGTTCAATTTAACACAAACCGTCCTATACGGATATTACTATACATTCCGATTCTACCCATCCTTGTCAACACAAAGTAGCAGCTTATAATAGCATGATTCACAGATTGGTCAATGTTCCTCTTTCAAAAGATAATTTCAATAAAGAACTTAATATCATCAAGCAAGTTGCGGTTAACAATGGGTTTAAAGCCGAATTAATAAACAAAATACTTGCCAAGAAAGTCTACAAAAAGCGATTCGAGACATTTTTCCTATTGATAAGGTAGACAATCAAAATTATAGAGCTTTAACGTATTTTGGACAACCAGCGAAAAAAGTTATTTCACTTTTGAGAAAACGAGATATTAAAATTGGGAAAGTTAGTTAAAAATAATAAAGACAAAACATCCAAATTTGAGAAATCATGAATATATAAATTAAAGTGTGGAACGTGCCCTAAGGTATATATCGGTCAAACTGGCAGAACATTTAGGAATCGAATCCAAGAACATCATAAGAACTATGTAAATAAGAAGATAAATTTAATATATTCAAATCATCTTCTAGAAGAAAATCATACGAAAAGTTCGAAATTAATAAACTTGAAAATTCAAACATTTTAATGAATGACCAACTAGATTTGTATAGATCACCATTATCAAACTTGTTTTCTTAAAAACCGAGAAAGAATTATTATTAATGAAGATGTGAGGTAATATGCTTCAGGTGATCATAATTGAACAGGTACCTTAGGTAGAGATTTAGGTAATTTTTTGGAGGTCTCAATTATGGTTACCTGTAGTATATAAATATTAATGTAAGAACAACTTGAAGTATTCAAATCACTTGACAAAGCTACTGTGATAGCGAAACATGTTGTGAAATGTTTTTCAAATAAAGTTTGTGGAGATCAAATCGTGAGTTGTAGTCTTCGAAATTGATTATTTCATTTTTCTCTCTATGTTTTTAACTATTTACTGTTGATTTTCAATTTACATTTCACTTATTCAACTCAATATCAATTTACTTCCATTTCAGGTCACAATAATTTGTTTTTTTGTAAATTAGTTTCAATTACAACCGAATATTCCACTGTAATTTTTTCAATAGTTTCATTATTTTCAACCTTTATTTCAGTTTTATTCAATTCGTTCTTATTGTTCGATACCATTTTAGATAAGGGAAGTCCGAGCTTGTAACACTCACTAAGAAATATTCTCGACCACTTTCACAAATCGAAGATATTTAAGCTTACTTATTATCCATTGAGAATGTGACAAACACGTTGGATCGGAATTTTAAGTCTTCAGTTTTTGGAATATCCTTCATTATTAGTTATCAGAATGTTGAAGAAATAAGTAGAAAGATCATATGAACATATTTCCTATGTGAACACATATGTCCTCAATCGCTTCACGTTTCGAATAACAGGATGTTGAAGTTGTAATGAAGAAGCAGTTTTGCAGTAATTATTCAGAAGATATTCCCCCGATTGTCATCAAACTCTGTTTGATGATGTAATGAAGGACCCTTTTGAAGTAATTAGATTTGGAATAGTTATTTTAGTGGCGCGCAGTGTACTGACCAGATATAATTTTACTTGTAACAGAATTTATAATGTTGACGAGCCGGGGATATCTACTATGATGAGCACACCGAAAGTATTAGCCGAATAATGTCAGAAACAAGTCGGCCAACTAGTCTCAGGAGGAAGAGTTGAACTCAGCCAGCGGTAACACTATTTGGCCACTTTTTATTTTTCCAAGGGTGCACTTTGAAGATCATTTTATGGCTGATGTCGCTGAAAGTAGCTTGGGTGTTGCTACAAGGAGTGGGTGGATACACTCAGAAATTTCAATACAGGTGCTGAAACTTATTCAAAAGAAGACGTTGCGCTCGAAAGAAAACCCTATTCTATTATTGATCAATAATCATGATTTCGAATAACAGGATGTTGAAGTTGTAATGAAGAAGCAGTTTTGCAGTAATTATTCAGAAGATATTCCCCCGATTGTCATCAAACTCTGTTTGATGATGTAATGAAGGACCCTTTTGAAGTAATTAGATTTGGAATAGTTATTTTAGTGGCGCGCAGTGTACTGACCAGATATAATTTTACTTGTAACAGAATTTATAATGTTGACGAGCCGGGGATATCTACTATGATGAGCACACCGAAAGTATTAGCCGAATAATGTCAGAAACAAGTCGGCCAACTAGTCTCAGGAGGAAGAGTTGAACTCAGCCAGCGGTAACACTATTTGGCCACTTTTTATTTTTCCAAGGGTGCACTTTGAAGATCATTTTATGGCTGATGTCGCTGAAAGTAGCTTGGGTGTTGCTACAAGGAGTGGGTGGATACACTCAGAAATTTCAATACAGGTGCTGAAACTTATTCAAAAGAAGACGTTGCGCTCGAAAGAAAACCCTATTCTATTATTGGTCAATAATCATGAGAGTCACATCACGAAGAAAGCTATAGATCATGCTAGTGACAACGGCATTGTTTATATATATAGTAAGGGCTACATCCATCAATTTATATATCTTTTCTTCCGCATACAACGCACCGTCTTCAGCCATCACACGTATGGGTATTTGTCCCTTTTAAAGTGAAATTGAAGTAGCATTCAACAACTGGCATGTATCAAATCAAGGAAATACTTTCAAAATTTATCGACGAGCAAATATTACATAATATGTATGACACAGATTGATAATATATGTGTTGCATTTCATTGTATGTAAGGTCCCTACCATGTACGAGAGCACTGTATCCCTGCCATGGGGCACTTCCGTACGTTTTCCATTTTTCAGAAAAAATCCTCATTACTAGATCATGTTGATTTTTTTAATACTATTTTGTAAGTTTCATTCATGTCCAGATTATTCACCATAAAATAGTACTAAAAAC